TAAATAAAGAGTAAAATAAAGGTGAAGGATTAAAACTGCTAAGACATTTAAATAGAGAGATAGCCCCTGAAACAAATGTAAATTTCATTTATTGAAAACATATATCAATTAGAGTAATAATGATATTTTTAAAAAAAAAAGGCTAGGGAGGTAGCTCAGTGAGAGGCCTTGGGTTCAATCCCAGCTTCTATAGAGTGTGTGTGTGTGTGTGTGTGTGTGTGAGAGAGAGAGAGAGAGAGAGAGAGAGAGAGAGAGAGAGAGAGAGAGAGAGAGAAAAGAGAGAGAGAAAGGGAGAGAATGGATGGAAGGATCCTTGTTCTTTCTGACAATGGAAGCAGAACACAAAACAAAACAACCTCATCAATAAGAAGTTTGCAAGTCTGCAAATTTTCTTAACATAAAATCTAAAACAGAATTTGTGTGTAATTTTTATTTAAGAGCACTGAATCACATCACACACAACATTTTAGAAGGAATTGCATAAAATGTGCCAAAGCCTTCATTGGAGGCTGCCTATTCTACTAACTATTGATAAGAGCTCAGAACTGTAATTTCTCTTTTTTCCACATTTCAATGAATTCCACTGACACAAGGTCAAATGTGTTTTGTTTTTAATTGCAGAGAGGCATTTTTCCCCAGCCATATTGGAGATTTAATCCAGGGCCTTCGCACTGAGCTACATCCCTAGTTTTTATCTTTCCATTTTGAGATAGGGTCAAGTTGTCCAAGCTGAGCTCGAGTTTACCTCCCAGGGTGCTGGGATTATAGGCATGGGCCACCAGGCCTGGCCCCAGACTCTACAAAAATGATGCATAATGACTGAAAAGCACTTTTGTGAATTCCTTTGGCAAGACCGCCCTTGTGTTCTGCTGCATCTCAGAGGAATGTGTTCTGCACATTGACAAGACACCAGGAGGTCTGACCCATCCCCTCTGTGCTGTGTTTATATCCTACCATCATTGGTCAGATGCCTAACCTAAGGAGAGGCTGCAGGTCCCCTCCAAAAGCACAAGTTCCCTGTGTTATCCTGGCTCGGGCGACAAAGCAGTTGCAGGCACGGTAGGAAATCTATGGTGCGAAGGTTCAAGGGTCCTTCTGTACAGAAAGGGCCCTCAGATCCCTGTATATGACTTCTGAACAAAAGCAGTCATGGTCCCCTGAAGAACACACACGTTCACCCAGTGACTCAGAGATGGAGTGAAGGCGGAGAGAGAGAGAGAAGGGGTGAAGCGAGGACACTTGGTGTGGCTTGTCACATCTATCCAGGGGACCCCACACAGCCAAGGTGCCTCATACTTACATGGCCATGTTGATCCAGTTCATTGTTAGTGAGTTTCACTTTCTCAAAGGACACCATCTGTTTGAGTAGCTGCTCACCAGTAAAGGGAGAGTCGGGGTGCACATAGAGCCTAAGAAAATTATGAGAAAATTATATGGAGAAATATTTTTTTAAAGTCTGTCTCTGGGTTATAAAATACACCGATTCTAAAGGAACATAGTAGCCTCTTAGATATGGCCTGTTCTACTTGCTCCACATATATCAAATTTATTAACACAGCAATGCCAAAATAACTGTAAAGCATCTAATGTATTTCTTCATGTATCAATGATCTAAAAGGGTAAAACTTAATAAATCTACCATGTGCTGAGTAAGCCAGTTTTTATAGATGGGTTGTTTATTTCATCTATGTAGTTAGTTACTACTCTGTGTCTATGAAATATATAAGCTCATTGTTGTAGATATTTTCCAAAGAAAGTCTAGGTTACACCAATTTCATGAGTTCCTACTACAGGCATCACTGAAGAACAATAAAAACAAAAATGGAAAGAGGAAATAATTTTAGAGGACACATTTGTCTAAGCTTAAGTCACTCAGTTGAAAGCATGTGTACTTTACAAATATAAGACAAAGTTATTTTAGCACAGATACGTGGAGGGTTTTTTTTCCCCCAGTGCTGGGTATTGAACGCAGGGCCTTTGCACTTGAGGTATATCTAGAATTTATTTTTTACCTTTTACTTTGAGACAGGGTCTTACTAAGTCACTAAGATGCCAAGGCTGGGCTCAAATTTGCCATTCTCCTGCCTTAGCCTCCCAGAGTAGTGGGATTACAGGTGTGCACCATCAGGCCAGCTCAGGGGAATGTTCATTAGCCCATAGCTCAGAGGTGAGAGTCTGTTGCTCCTCCTGGTACTTTAAACACTACCATATACTCTTATCATATCAGTTGATGTACTACTAAGTGAGCATTTAAGGCTGGATAAGCATCAATTTATTCAACTGATTTATTTAAAAACAGCTTAAGCAGAAGAAAAAACCCTTTTATCTTTTATGGATGTGTTGCTTTGTACAAGACACAATTTTACTCATCGTAAAACATAGGCCATTCCTTTTCCTGTAACCATCCACCTAAGTACAGCTCTTTGTAAACCCTAATGTTAGTATCGTCTTAACATAGTCTTTCCAAAATAAGAGGGAAATTATGGAACTAATGATAAAGACGTGAAATCCTTTTTTAATAGAACAAACCTCCTTTTCTTTTTTTCCAGTGCTCCCCAGGTTCTCATGCATACCAAGCATATACTCTACCACTGAGCTGCACGCCAGCACTGACAAATTCCTTTATCAGTGTAACAGGTCATATATATATATATATAATATATATATATTATATATATATATAATATATATTGTGTAAGATCTTTATAGCTATAATTAAGCATAAATGTTTGGTTGGGGTAAAAGCAAAAGGAAAATGTCAGAAAAACCTTTCCTTTCAAAGTCTGCACTGTGGTTTGTCATGAGAAAGGACTCAGGTCACAGGAATTGCACCTTAGGGGTGCTGGAACTCACCAAGCCCAGCAGGAGCAAAGCGCAAAGGCTGGCAGCGCTCACGGATCTGACCAGACCCGCAGAAGACCAAGCACAGCAGGGCTCTGTCCCTGCTGCTGGTTCCCTTGTTTTAGGTGGGGAGTTCATAATCACCTTTCCACAAGAATATTTGTAAATAGCATGATAACTTCTCAAGTTTCTTCCAAGGTTGCAATTTTATTTTTAATTACCAAATTATATATATGTTAGTGCTATATAATAAATATATTCATCGCGGGCAACTGGTACCTATACATATCACACCTTGATCCTTTTTTACTTTCCTTTCCCCTCTCCTCCCTCTCATCTCCTCCTCATCTCAAGATCCCCTCCCCATTTCCACAAAGTCTGTCTGCCTGTTTAAAAAAAAAAGGAAAAAAAAGTTTTCAGTAAATAGAAAAAAAAGTTGTAACTTTTAAGGTGCAGTCATTGTATTGATCAATGTCACATCAAACCTTCCCCCCCAAAATGCCCCAAATCACTGGAAGTCCTATTAGTTGGTGAAATGCTCCCTCTTAAGACAGTCACTATATGTAATCACGTTAATAAAAATAACTTATTTAGATATCAGTTACTTTAAAGAAAAGGAGATGCACTATATGAACATGTAACATTATTTTAGATCATGAATAATGTCTTGCCCATTTTTACTCAGATATGTTGCCGAGCACTATTCCTTCTGATTAGAAAGGACTGACTAGTGAATTTCAGTCTCAGCTAAAGTGCCTCAAAGACCTAGAAATACAAGGAATTTCTACCATCATATGAAAATTCTCAGTTCCCAAGTTCTTCTCCTTTCTTTTATGGAAGTAGAAAATATTGCTGTTTTCTTACAATAATAAGAAAAAGCATAGTTGTTTAAATGATCTAGCATATTTCTATCCCATGATGCATTATATATTTTTTATCTAATATCAGTATAAACAAGCTGAGCTAGAATAAATGAGAAAACACACAGGAAGCTCCTCTCCTCTCAAGCCCCAATTTCACCCCCACCCTGGACTTAAAATTCCAGCAATAGCTTAAACATGCTTCAGTTGAGATAGTGCATTGGTACACGCTTTCTTTCTCTAACCAGAGCAGATTAGTAACATAAACAAGACATGTCATATTTCCAAAGTCTGCTGCCTGCGCCAGTTCCCATACCTTCAGATAGGAAGAAAATGTATGTTAAATAAGAGTGATTAACTTTTTAGGAGAAAAGCTGGGGCAAACAATAACAGAAAGCAGTGCTTGCTTACAAAAACGGTTAGGTATCTGCTAAAACACTTCTGTCCCTCCCTTTCCCTCTTTTCTCTGGTCTCAAACAATATTGAAAAGTTAGGACGGAAGCTCAAGAAGAATAATAAATTGGCTATGTAATAGTTTTTTTTTAAAAAAACACTAATTTTATTAATTTGATTTCTGCTGTGAACTGGTACATCTTGCTCAATTAAAAGAAATGTCTTATGCCTGGGTATAGTGGCACATGCCAGTAATCCCAGAACTCTGGAAGGCTGAGGCAGGAGGACTGAAAATTCAGACCCAGCCTGGGCTATTTAACAGCTCAGTGAGACTATGTCACAAAATTAAAAATAAAATAAAAAAGAGAACTATAGACATAGCTTAGTGCAAAGGCCTTGGATTCAATCCCTAGTACAACCAAACTAACTTTATAAATTATATTTTTCCTTTTTTACTAAATAAATAAATGAGTTGGAATTTTAAAAATATTTCTTAGTTGTGTTATTTAATGCCAATTTGGAAGGGTTGCAAAGATGAGCTTCCCAAGCTCACCTGAGGACAGAAAATTGAAAGACTGCTGTTCTTTTCTTCTCTAGTGCCCCTGGCGTACTATAAACTCAATGATGTGATCAGCTAATTAAGCTGAATATACTAGCTGATGGATGTATAAATTCTGTTGATTCTGTACCTTTGTAAGACATCAGACTAGAAACCAAGAATCAGCCGTAGCTTCAAAATAGCCTGTACATTGAAATAAATTCTTAGTTATGACAGGACCTTTCAATCAATTACAAAAAAAAAAAAAATCTTGCTCATGAAAGAGCTTAAAATTGGTGAGGTTTTTGAACCTGAAATATAAAGCCCACCAATATTCTGTTTTATATTAAAGTTTGCAGTTGCTGTAACTGCTGCTCTTATGCCATAGTTGCTGTTCTGAAAACCCCAGAATGTCCTCTTAGGCAAAGCAGAGACAACAGAGGTTTGTAGAAGGTTTTTCTTTCAAACAAAGTATTCTCAGAAAAACACTGTAAGCAATAACTGGCACAAAAATAATCATATATCATATCTGATATGTTACATTTCACATAAAGGAATATTAACTGGTTGAATTGCATTCATCCACTGAAATTGTAGAGGGGGGAATTTTTCTTTTCTTATAATCTCTGTACCCTTTACTGGTTTAAAAAATAATAATACATTTTACCAAATGATGCTTATTTTGTACATACAGGACACAGTGAAAACAAAATTAAAGATTTACTGTAAGCAGCCACATTGCTAAAATATATTCTTTTAGGACCAGGGATATAGCTCAGCGGTACAGCACCTGCCTGGCAGACTCGAGGTCCTGAGTTTGATTCCCGGTTCCAAAGTAAATAAATAAATAATATACATTCTTCTAAAAAAAAAAGAAAAAGGATTTGGGGGCACCTAGTCTGATTTGAAGCAGGCAGTTAGAAATTTTATAGGTATTAAGAAGTCCACATTTCTAAGGAATCTTCAAACTGAAATACAAGGAAATCCCTGAAATAAATTATAAGGGAAGATAAAATGAAAGACAATTTTTAAAAGCACAAACTCTGCCTTTTTGTAGACTAACCCACGTATTTTGTATTCAGTCCTGAAGTGTTAGAGGCCTGGAAAGCTCAGGCCACAGCCGGTTGTGCTGTAAACACAAACTGGCTCGGAATTCACAGAGGAAGAAATGCATTTGCTAGGGGCAGGCGCAGCACGAACCTGGCGGGCAGCGGGGGGTCGGCCTTGCCGGCCACCAGCCAGGAGGAGCGGTGGTAGGCGTAGCGGTACCTCTTGTTGTCCACCGGCACGATATCCATCAGCACGATGTACTTGGCCTCAGGATCCACGCCTGAGAACGACACCCGGATGGTGGGAAACATCCTCCTGGCAAAGAGAAAGAGGGACAGAAGGGGAGGGTGGGTAGAACTTTGGCTCGGTTCACAAGTCCAGTGGCCTGGCCCCAATTGAGGCAGGAGGGACGGGAGGGGCAGAATCCACCCCCTTCCTTCCCAACCCTCTTACCAGGCCCCCAGGCGCCCCCTTTGATTTCTTGGAAAGCCACAGAGAGGCCAACACAGAAAGGACTTCTTTGCAAAGGTACATGATTTTAATCACCAAGACTTCATTGCTAGGTGAGAGTTTTGTGCTCCCACCATCCCAAAATCTGAAACTCTGTAACCAGATCAAGTCATCAAGGACTTTAGACTCTGAGGACCCTAAGTAGCCAGACCTGACACGATTCTGCAGCACACAGGGATGGAGGTGGGGAAGGACAGTAGGGGTTCCTGGAATAGGTCTGGAGACTCTGTGGGCATTGCCTGTCCTGCGAGCTAGCAGAACCAGGTTCAAAGTCACTGACCATAGGGGCCTTTGCGGCCTCCACGTGGCTTCCAGGCAGCTGGATCTGCCCAGCCTCAGGCCAAGGGACTACCCTTCCAACCAGACTCTTAGTTTTTATATTTCATTCTTCAGGCTTGAATTTTCTTTTCTTTTTTTTTTTTTCCGATACCGGGAATCGAACTCATGACCTTGCTCTTGCCAGGCAAGCGCTGTGCCGCTGAGCTAAATCCCCAGCCCTGAATTTTCATTTTTAATGGGAGCTGCAGCTTCCACAAATTGAGTGTGATTAAGGAGGCGCCACCCACTTCCCTCGAAGCACCTAGTGGCCCTGCACCCAGCCCCACCCCCGGAATTCTGACCCAGCACCCAGGGCCTCCAGGGGTACAGGGAAAGGAGACCCAGAGTCCCCTGTCCCAGTGGCTTCTTCCCAGGCAGGTGGGGCTCCCCGTGGCCACAGCCCTAGAACACAGACATCCATTTCCAAAGGTTGGCACCTGGAAAGCAGCTGTTGATGCTGCCTCTGTCTGCTACCTGCCATCCCTCCAGTCCAGTCCCCAGAAGTGCCCCAAGCACCTCAGCACCTCCTTATTCCTGTGCCCCACCCTCCAGTGCCCAGCTACCTGCCAGACTTGGTGATGATCATCTCTGTGCCCAGCTCGTGGAATTTGTCCCACAGCTCCTTGGTCTCCAGGTTGCAGGTGATTTTGGCCATTTCCTCACTGGGGATAATGGGAGTGGTGGGGATCAGAGGCTCAGTGCACAGCGAGGAGGAAGACGGGCTGCTGCTGCCTCCTCTGCCGAACTCCCCCTGAGTGTCCAGGCTGGTCAGCTCACCCAGGGGCTGGGCACAGGACGACTTTTCTACGAATTGCTCTGCAGGCAAAGAGAAGGGGCAATTACAGCTCCTACTGTCAACACAGAAAAGATTCAGGAAAGAAAGCTGATCCAAAACAGGCACCTGGACTGGGCTCTGGGAAACTGATACTCAGAAACTCCAGGATGCTGGCCAGGACCTAATGCTGCAGGCAGCTCCTGGAGTGAAAGGGCCCCCTGCTTGGTAGATTACCTAACCAAAGAGCTCAGTTCTAGAACAGTGGCTAACTGGTATATAAACAAAACCCCACTGGGGAGTCAAACTATGAAGAATGAAGAGGACAGTGATGACAAAGGATAAAATGTAAATATTCGGGGCTGGGGATTTAGCTCAGCGGCAAAGCGCCTGCCTGGCAAGTGCAAGGTCGTGAGTTCGGTTCCTGGTACCGGAGAAAAACCAAAAAAAAAAAAAAAAAATGTAAATATTCCTACGGTTTTCCCTCTCAAATTCTAGACTTTGTAGCCTGTGGCCAGTCTTGCCTCTGTGACAACCACATTATTCTCCACCAAGTCTAAGGAGTTGAAGGCCGGCAGTAGCTTCTCTCATTCTCACTCTGAGTAAGGCTTTCCCTTTCCCAACAGCATGCCCCCTTCCTTAATAGAAAAAGGAAAGTAGAAGGGGATGGAGGGAAGGTAGGGACATAGTTCAAAAATAGTAAATCACTTCACCTATGTGAAGAGAGATTAGAACAATTTTGCAGCATCCCTTCCAGCCTGAGATCTTACGAAGGACTCAGCATCCAGCTTGCTAAGTCACAGAAGGAGATTCTCTGGGACATTTAAAAAATAATTTTATGAAACAATTACATGGTGTAGGTGATTTTTAACTCCTTGAAAAGCTCCCGGAAATAAGGAAAATAATCTCAACACCTGGGTAGCAAGGAATTAAAGTGGGAAAAGCACTTTACACTCCCGCCAGGTTAGATTACCACTGCTTAGCCCCAGGTTCTCCTGCCAGCTGATAAGGCACCACTGCACCAGTCACTTTGATGGAATACAGGGGGGCTTTTGTAATTGGCCCAATTATCTCCCATCCCTTAAAAAAGAAACTACTTGAATTCACAATGCAAAGCCATCTCTAAACAACTCTGCTGTACTTCTGTGTGCCCTCCAGGGCTGGGAACACTTCTGAACGTCTGTGTGCACATGTGTCTGATGTATGTGGGCTGTGACGCGTGCACACCATGAAGCCTTTCCTTATTCCTCACACTTCTCCTTCAGGTCGGCAACAGGAAACAGAATTTTTACTTCCTTTTTGCTTATCAATGCAATGATAATCCAACTCAGAGAAATGCTCTAAAATAACAAATACCAAATCAATTGTGCTGATTATTTCAAATTAAACGAAAGGGAACCAAGCCTTGGCAAAAACCTTATTTCCATCTAAATGTTTCAAAAATATATTCACAAAATGTCTCTATAAGGATTTAAGAAGTGACCCTGACATTTTTCTTTTCTTTCCTTTTCTTTTTTTTTTAACTGAAAAAGACAAACTCCCTAAAGTACAGACTCACCAGAGCATGGAGGGTGGGGAGCTGAGGAGGGCGAGAATGAAACAGAAATGTCCCGCAGTGCCTTCCAGGAGACGCAGGTTTAATGGACAGGGGAAGGCACCGCGGATGCCGCCGGTACCAACAAACAGCTCCGCTCCTCACAGACCTTCACGTATTTGTCTTGCTGACTCCTTGTCTTGCAGTGACTAAATATTCTCCCTTGAACAGTCCCGTGTAAAACAAAACACAGGACTTTCGCAGAGGCCAGGAGAGAGATACTCACTTTACACATTATAGCGGGTTTAGAGGGAAGCCTGAGGGGCTCTGGGGAGCTGGGAATGGATGTATAGCTTAGAACTTTGAAATTTAGATAGGTGATCTTTCCCGGAAAGATAAAAAAGTAGAAAAGACGGTGCCAGCAGGAATTCTAACCTGAAACTCTCTTTTCCTACTAGGTACCAAAATGAGGAGATGCTCACACAGGATTCAGGGGCTCTCCCCGAGAGAGGAGTGGACACGTTGGGCATCCCCAAAACACTACTTTGAAAGTGGCAGTTAATTTTTTTCCCTAAACAATTGAGGTTTCATTGCTCCCATTCCCCCTGCAGGGTTTGAGGCTCCGGAACTGCGGAGGGAAGAAGCAGGGAGAGGGCGTGAGGCCGGCAGAGGAGACTTTGCCGTTCTCTTCCCAGGGTTCCTCTGCTCTCCTGTTCCCTGCTTTCGAGTCCCACAGGGGTTCTACCGCTCCCCAAGCCCCTCATTTTTCAAGCTTTTCTCTTTCTTATGATAATGACAATGGACGTCCTAGGTTAAACAGGATACCTTGAAGGATACGGTGAAAAAATTGGGGAGGATTAAAAAAAAAAAAAAAAACCCTAAGTTTGCTGTTTGATGATTGTCACCTTTTTGAAGATACCAGATGATCAAGATGCAGAACCGTGATTCCCCAGGACCCACGGTGATGAGGACGCTTCTTTCTCCCTCAACTGTAAAAGGTTTTTAAGCTCTGATCTCCAGCAGGCAGTTTCCTTCCCTCGCACTTCAC